GAACAGGGTGGTGCCAGCCACATAGACAGTGCAGAAAGGAGGAGGGGCAGTGGAGAAGGAGGTGAGGACAATTCTGAATTCATTGTTTGCTTCTAGTCGTTCCCAGCAGAACAGAAGCTCCTCAAGGACAGGGCACATTTGGCACATTTGGGGTTTGCCTTCGGGTCCTAGCAGGATGCCTGGCACAGAGCAGGTACTCTAGAACTTTGGGCTGAATTCAACTAACCAGGTTGTCGGTGACTTTTCCTTGGTTAATAACAAGACTAGCTCACATTTCTATAGCTACATTTGACATAATTGATGTAATTACATTATAGAATTCCTCTACTTTTTTACGTGTTTCACAAACTTCTAGATTTTGCTTCTCTATCACATTCAGTGCTAAGGAGACATTTGTGCCTTTCACCAATTCTTTCTGAGCATCCTCTCCACAAGTGGCTTACAAAGGCAGCTTTACTGTCTCGAGGAAAGACCTGGTCATTGTCTCCACTTTAATTTGACTGGAAATTGTGATTACTTAGACACAGGTTAAATGACCCATAAATCTGATCTCAGACTGAAGGCCCCTGCAGAGCAGAGGACAGGCCTCCATGCTGCTTTTAATCAGTATCAAGACTTTCCCAAAACTCTGATTATCTAGTCAGAATCAATGCTCTCTGGCTCACATATACAGATGAAACTGATGGACAAAATAGAGCCAAACCATTCATTTTTCCCATTTCCATTGAGAAGGCTGGAAATGACCCCATTGGTGCAGCTACAGCAAAGTCTCAGAATGAGCAGACTGGGAGACCACCTGAGGGATCATAGGATACAGCCCTTTTATCCTATGTAGCCCCTGTCCCAGAATCCACTGGTTTAGGACTCTCTTGCCATCAGTGGAGATGAATGCCCTGCCCTTCGTGAGGTGCTAGTAAAGCTGGTGAGAGGGACAGCTTCTGCTCTTGGCCAGTCCCCTCTACGCACTTAGTAAGCTTCAAGAGAGAAGATGGAAGAGGCCAACCCCACTTCAGGCTCCTGATGGAAAAGACTGGGAAGACAGCAACCTGAAGCGGGGGCGGCCTCTTCCACCTTCTCTCTTGAAATATCCCAGGCAGACTTGAAGCTTCATGTGTCCTGGGACTCGACCCAAAAGGTCCCAAAAGGGACTGTGGAAGGTGGGAGCTCTCCTGCCTCTCACCGACTCTGCCTAGCCCCTTCTGCAGGGCAGGGTCTTCATCATCCGCACCAGTGAGGAGGGGGGCCCATACCAAAGGGCTTTGGGAAAGAGGGCTGCACTACCAACCGGGAAAGTGAGGGCCAGAGAGCCAAAGGGATTTCTCTAACATTAGCAGCAGAGCTGGAACTAGAAAACCTGGATCTTCCTGAGTTCTAATGCCAGGAAGGAAGGAAGGAAAGAATGGAGGAAGAGTAGGAAGGAGGAAAGAACCTAGAATTGATATTTATAAAATCCTTTAAGGTTTACAAAGCAGTCTACATGCACTATCTCATTTGATCATCAAAACGTTCCTGGAAATAAATAAATAAAAACCCCATTCCTGGGAGGTACTGGGGGGGAGGGCGGATGGACCAGGTTGAGATTTTCTTGTTTAAGAGAGTTGCCTGGGGCATTGAGAGGTAAGTAACTTGCTCAAGGTCGCACAGCTTGTAAAATAAGTACTAGGGACATGATTTAAACCCAGATCCCTACTGATTCCGGGTACAATAACCTTCTACCATACCACAATGTCAGAGGAAAGGGGGAATGAAGACATGGCCTTTTTCTTTAGTGTCATTCTCCCTCTGGTGCCCTTCCTCCTTGCTTTGTGGCATGTCCCCCAGTGGGCACGCCTCTTCAGGATGACCTGCTCCCCTGGCCACCCAGGATTAGTGGGTCCCATGTTCTCTGTTCCTCCTGAGACTTACTGGTCTCAACCCCTTCCTGGCCAGGTTCTGTCTTCCTGCCAAAGCTCCATGCTCAGCTCCTGACCAATACCAGTGATCACAAGTTCATCCGTGCCTGGATCCTAAAGGGACAAGATTCCTCCCAGCTCTCCCCAGAGCAGTTCATCTCCCAAGGAGATGTAGTGAGCTATATGGGGGCTCAGAGTGAAAAGACCCTGCTCTGGGTGGTGCCTTCACCTTTCCCTATGTGTCCTCAGACAAGCCTCTTCCCATCCTCAGGGCTGTTTCCTCTTCTGCAAAACAAGGGGTTGGACTAGGTGTCTTCAGACATCCCTTCAAGCTTGAACCTTCCGAATATAATGGGGATTTTCATTCACAGCTGCTGTTGTCAAACCCCAGCCTGGGGCACTAATAGTGGGCCGCCAAAGGAGGCACTGGAGGCTCCAAACTTGAATGTTAGCACTGGGCGGAAAGAGGGAGCCCGGGTGCAAGTTGTGACCATGTTAGTGTTCGACTGAAGTGAACTGGAGGAAGTGGGTGGTTGTCAACATGAATAGTGAAGTCCCCAAGGAGGATGGCAGCAGATGGGACAGAGGAAGATTGTGAGCCAGGTACTAAAGGCATTGAATAAGTTGGGATGATGACCTGGAGGTCAATAAATGACAGTAATGAGGATGGAGAAAGGGTGGCACTAGACTGTATGTGAAAGAAGGAAGGCCAACCAGGGATGACAATGGAGCGATGGCCTTGGAAGGGCAATGGACAGCCAGTTGTCTGTCCTCCTGGCCCTGGGAGTGGAGGCAGTGGCCTGACCACCGGTGGAGAGGCTTGCCAGGGATGCAGCATGCTTAGGGAAGAGACAGATTTCTGTTTGCAGATTGCCCCTATGGCCCTGCTTGGTTCTGACTTCCCCCCTCAGGCGTACCAGTCCTTCTGATTGTGGGAGTGGGAAGGAGAGTTCGCCTCCTGCCTCCTAGGCCTTCCCCCATCATCGTCACAGCAGGCAGCATGACGGCTACAGTGCCACCACCTTTCTGGACTCCCTGGGACACCTGGGACACTGTGGCTTCTACCGACTTGCTTGTTTCTTTCAGCTCAGCGAATCAGCATGTCCCCTATCAGCAGGTACCTGGCTAATGGCTGCGGCCAATTAATGCTCTCTGGCAGATCTCATTTCATGGAATCCGAACCTACTCCCTAGCTGGAAGGGACCTGGGAGAGGATCACCATCCTACCACCTTGCTTTACAGATAAAGAAACTGAGGCCCAGCAAGAAAGCACATTATTAAGTGCCTACTGGACATGTTTTCACAAGGACAGTCTCTGCCCCCCAGGGAGCTGTTTACATGATGCTTAGGAAGGGAAGTGAGATACAACATGTTAATGGGGATGATGCACAGTAGGGGTTAGCAGGGGCAAACCAGAGAGCCCCAGGAACATCTGAAGAGGGAGAGGGAAGTCAGCTGGAAAGCAAAGAGAACCAAGCCAGGCCTCCTGCTCCTCTACCCAGCGGGCATCCTCAATGGCACGTGGCCAAGCTGCTGGTTGTGGGGTTTCACCACCACCCGATGAGCCATATTTTCCGGATTCATGAGGTTGTCAGGAAGGGCTCCTTCCTCACTGATGAATCAGTGATATGTTGCAAATAGTTTCCAGTGCCTGAGCCTGACCTGACCAGACAAGGCAGTCAGGTCTAGGGACTGAACTGAAGTATGACGACACGCGGCTGACTTCTAGCTCCTGACCAGCGCGGGGTTGCAGAATGAGCCATCTGTAAAAGTCGAGCTGGAAGATGTCTCAGAGGTTACAAAGTCTAAGCCCTTTAATTTACAGATGAGGAAACCAAGGCCTAAGATCGCCCAGTAAATGGCCAAGTCAGAATTTGAACCCAACTCCTCTGACTTTAAATCTAGTATTCTTCTGCAAACACAGGAATGGTTGGAAATGATCTATTCATTAGCCAGTGAGTACAACTGCCATGGGTAGCCAACTGGGAGTAACAGTGAGCCACAAGAGCCAGGTAACTATCCCAGAAGCCTGCTTGCTGATTCTCAGATACACAGAGGGCCCTGGAGGGCGAGGAGTACAAAGGAGAAGTTGGGCCACCAGCTGTTCCCTGAAAGAGTCAGATGCCTGAGCTCCTGAAGTCTCTCTTTCCCCCTCACCAGTCCCGCCCTGCCCAAGAGAGGTTTTTCTGCCCCTCTGGGGCTAGATGGACAAGTACTGATACAATTGGGGTGCGAGGGGGCCACCAAGGCTGATTCCTACTGGCTGAAGGAGACTAGAGAAGTCTGGGACCTGGTTAGGGGATTTATCACTCTTTCAAGATGAGAAAATTCTTCCTGGCTTGGCCTTGCACAAGACATTTGCAAAAATGGTGGGTGGCCAGGGAGCAAAAGCTGGGGAAGGCAATTTCAGGGAAATAGGAACTTCAGGAAAAGAGGAAGTCTCCATCAGGAAGATCCCTCTGCCCCACCCCCTAGTCCCACTCTTCCCGTGGGTGCTCAAGTGCCTCCTGGGGTCCAGGCAGCCATCCTTCACTCCTCTCCTGGACCCACTTCAGACTCTCTGGACTTGTCCCCCAACCCCCTGCTTTTCAGCTTCCTTTTATATGTCATCTTCTCCCATTAGAATGGAAACTCTCTTGAGGGTAGCAACAGTCTCATTATCTGCTCATATTTACATTTCCAGTGCTTGGCACAGGGCAGGGCTAGGCACATAAAAAGCACTTATGTGACTGAGTTTGAGCGCTCCTCCTAGCTGTGGGATCCTGAATATGTCAAGGAACTTCTCTGAGCCTCAGTTTCTCCCTCTGTAAAATAGGGACAGTCAGAGCACTTAGCTCACAGAGTTGCCATGAGAGCCAAAGGAGCTAATATATGGCAAGCCCTTGGCACTTACTGGGTTCTAGAGTGGTGAGCTATGATTAGCACATCAAAGGGAAATCAAGTCAGTAGGTCTTTCTAGCCCTTCCTTCCATTCTGAGGGAAAGGGGAGGGGGAACTACATAAGGAAACAAGGCCTTAGATTCCCTTTCCCTTTCCCAAAGGCCTCCCCTGCTGCCTCCTAGAGCTGAGGAAGCTCACGGATGAAGACATCTCCATTTGCTTTCTTACCCGGTCCTTTGGGTTTCCTGGGCAGTGGTCTAAAGAGCTGAGCGTCTCCTGCCCCTAGAAGAGAAGGAAACACAAAAAAAGAACTAAGAAAGCTTCCTCCTGTGCCACCACATGATGTCAGTGTTGTCCAGGAGGCTGAGAATTGGGCCAGATCAGACAAGGCACCAGACTCGGGTTCTTCCGAAATAAAGCCACACAAGCAGCAGGAAGCTGGGAGCCAAGCCACGCATCTGTCCAGTGGTCCAAAAGCCAGTGGGAGGGCAAGGGTGGATGGGAGGGGAAGGCACAGTGTCTGGACTGCATGGCAATGGGAGTGTTGAGTGACTCCAAAGGAAGGCACACTTCACTCTGAGATGGGACCAAATAAGGACAGGGGTCTGGTCTGGTCTGGGCAGGCTGGCCAAGTCATTCAACCTTTCTGAGACTCAATTTCCTCATTTGTGAAATGGACACAGTGATAGCAGCTACTTCCCCAGGTTGTTATGAGAATCCAATAAGGTAACATATGTCTTAAAAGGTACCCTAAATGCACGCTGCTATCTTCATCATCATCACCATCCTCATCTTTTCCTGTTGGCTCTTGAGCAAAGGAATGCTAGGCTGGAGTCAGTGAGCCTAGCAGCCCCCTCCCAGCTAGACTGAAGGGTACTGAGACTCATGGCAGATCTGTGTAAATGTCAGCCCGGACCAGGCCGGAGAGAAGAAAAGGGGGAGAAGAGCAATGAGTCTCCCAAGAGAGTTCAGGGCCATGGCCTGAAAACCATTGTTTCTATGCTTCTGTATTTGCCCACTTTGCTTTCCCAGAGAAAGTTCCTTTGGGGAAAATGCCAATCATTGCCAGCAGAGCATTCAGGTTGGGACAGCCAAGGAGGTCAGTGTGTCTCGAAAGCAGGCATCTTTATGCCACAGACCCCTTGGACAATCCAGTGAAGAAGCCTGTGGACGGGCCCCTTCTCCTAGTAAGCTTTTGTGGTTCACATTCATAGGGGAGGGAAAGGCTCATGTTGAGCTAGAGGTTGGGGAAAATAAAGGTGTGATTTCTTCCCATCTAAGTTCCCAGAGCCCTAGAGCCCCAGGTTAAGAAGGCTTTCTCTAGGGCCCAGATGCGCTTCCCTTGCAGTGAGGGCCAGCAGAAAGCCTGAGAAGGAATGGGTGGCAAGACTAGCCCCCTGCTTGAGAGCTCTAGAAAAGGCCTTTCCTCCTGACTAGGCCTCCATCGGGTGCCACTGATGGAGGCAACGAAAGGATTACTGGAACCATTTTGCAGAAGAGGCCGTGGAGGCTCAGTGAGCACCAGGGACTCACCCAGGGGCACATAGCTACTAAGTAGCCGGGGCAAGATTCAAAGTCAGGTCCTCTGATACCTAAGCCTGAAGGCAGGTACTGGGTCTTGGATTTGGGGTCTTTGCACCGCCCCCACTATCTCCCAATGCCATCCTTTTTCTGTACCATTCATTCTTCCCTGGCATGCATGTGTTTTGTCTCTCCCACCACAATGTACACTCCTGGAGGTCACAGACTAGCATCTCTTGGGTCTTGCCCCCAACTTCCCCCTCAGCAGGAATTCATGGAATGAATATCAAGAGTTGGAAGGGGCCACAGAAGTTACCTGGTCCTGCTCCGCCAGGAGTGTGAATCACCGCTCAGGGCCTGCGTCTGAATCCGGGCCATCAAGAGGCTCTCAAGCCCTTTGTGACCAAGGGTCTGAATTTGTCACAACTGAGAACCAGAGTCAGGACACCAGCAGAGGGTTAAGAACTCCGTGCCCAAAGGAGGTTCTTCTCAAAGGACTTTTCTCACTACATTCTTTCGAGGGAGGTATCACCATCCCATTTTTATAGTGTGAGGAAGGTTTTATGGGGTTAGGGTCACAGAGGCCGCATCAATCCCCCCCCCATCTCCATGACCTTCCCATTTTAGTCTTTTTTTGGGGGGGGAGCCTTGGAGTAAGTACTTCCTGGGAGGGCATCACTTAGTGGGCCTCTGAAATGGAAGTCCTTGGCAATGACAGGAGGGACCCAAATTTTGGGGAAGGCAAGAAAGGATGACCAAGACAAAGGAAAGAGGTGTGAGAAAGGCCTAGAGGGTCACAACTAGCCTGGCCAACAACGAAGCCTCTCTCGTAGTAGAAGCCCAAGCCTTTGTTCAGGAGATGGGAGCCTTGCCACAAAAGCCTAGCACCTTCCCCGAATTCCTCCTCAGTTTTGTATGTGTGGCAATTAAAGTGATCTCAAGTAATGGGCCCGCCCAAAGGAAGACCTGTACTTGAAAACCCTCATTTTTCTTTTTCTGGTTTGCCAAGCTTCTCAGCTCTGCTACTTTCAACCTGGGTTCCCCCTCCATCTCCTCTATTCCCTGGGTCTCAGTTTCTTGTTCCTGTCAAATGAGGACGTTGGGCAAGATGACCTCTGGGGTCCTTTCCCAGTGTGACCTTCCCTAATATAGGAACCGGGGGGGGGGCGAGAGGGGGGGCGGGGAGGGGAGCCGTCAGACGAAGGGCAGGTGTGAGCGAAACTCCTTCCCAAGCCGCCCACCCCGCCCCCACGCCCGCGCTCGCGGCGGAGCCCAAACGGGGAGGGGGAGGGGAAGAGGAGGGAAGGAGGAAGGGTGCGCTGCTCCGCTTAGGCCTTTAGGGCGCGCGAGAACGCCCGGAGAGCATTCTCCGAGTCGCCGTCTGATTGGCTCGTGGGAAGCGGGGGCGTGGCCTCGGGCTTTAATTTGTGGCGCCCGCTCGGATACTCCCAGGGATCGATTGCCGAAGGCCGGGCGGAGCGAGCGCGTGTCCTGCAGTCTTGGGCCGCACCTCCATCCCCATGGCTTCGCAATGCGTGGACCCAAGAGGTTGGTGAGGCGGGGGGCAGCGCAGCCCCCAGGGCCGCTGCCTTTTGGGGAGCGGGGGGCATTTGGAAGAGGCCTGCCGGCTCCTGGCTCCTTCTGCCCGGGCTGCCGCAGTTTCCTCCGCGGGGAAGGGCGTGAAATCACTAGCGCCCAGGCTGGGAGGGGCTCTCCCCCCAAAGCCCAACTATTCCCCCATCTTAATCCAAGTCTCCTCCTGAGAAAAGCATCTAAGAAAAGGCTACGCCATTTTCAGGAGCCCGTTTAAGCCTAGCCTTTAGGGGTAGGTGGGAGCCTAGGAGTGGAGGGGGGGGGGGAACCTTCGGTTTCCCAAACACATTTTGTAGTATCACACCAACGTCGAATGTTTGAGTTGGAAAGATCTTTAGAGATCATGGAGTACAACCCGCCCATTTTATAGAGGAGGAGACTGAGGGGAAGGTGAGACAATTTGCAAGTAAAACGGCATAGATTTGAACCCGGGTCCTCTGAATCCAAACCCAGTGCCCTTTGCACTAATAACAGACGGAAAGATTCAGTGAAAAGCCTGCTGAACGTGGAGTCAGAAGGTCTGGGTGCCTATCCTGGCACTGGTGGCCAAGTCAGGCCCCCTCTGGACCTGAGAGTCCTCATCTTCAGTTAACTGGGCTGTGTACTAGGTGAAGGGCCCTTCAGCTCCATCTATCCACGGATCGAGCAATCAACGAGCTTTTATTAAGCCCCTGTTCTTCACTTCGGATGGAACGAGGGATTCTGAGAGGCAGAGGTGAGGAAAGAGCACGCTAGGCTAGGCATGGAGGTTAGCAGCGCATGGCGATCACAGAGCAGCGGGAAGATGGAGTGAGTGTGGGCTGGGCTGCAGGATGCATGCAGGCCAGTCAAGGCTTACTTTGCAAGGCTGAAAAGGTCCATTGGGAATCAGTTCAGGAAGGGCTCTAAATGCCAAACAGGAGTTCATATTGATTCTAGAGCTCATAGGGAGTCAGCAGGCTTTACTGAGCAGGAGAATGAGCTGGTCAATCCGGGCTTAAGGAAAGTTATTCCAGAGTCTAAGTGAGGCTGGAGGGGAGAGGGAAGAGGGAAGAGATCAGAGGCAAGGAGACCGATTAGAAGGCTGTTCTTGTGGGACTCCAGGAGAGAGGAGCTGAGGGCCTGGCCTGGAGCAGCCACCAAAGTTAGCAGACAGAAGGGAACAGATTACACTGGGGTCTGCCTTGCCAAGACTGCTGCTGATTAGGCTGGGGAGCAGGATGGGGAGTAAGTGGCTGGGGAGATGACTTTGGGGGATGGAAGAACAGTGGAGCCCCTCCATAGAGAGGGGGAGGTTTGTAAGAACTGAGCTGTAATGGCCACTCCAGCCATCCTGTGAGGTAGGTAATACAGCTGTCATTCTGTTCATTTTACAGAGACTCAGAGAGAGAAAGTGACTTAGGTAACATGTATGTAAAGGTATGTACGTGATGAGTGTCTGAGCTTAGGGCCGTGGAAAGAACTTAGCCTTGGAGTTGGGAAAAGTCCTGGGAAAGTCACTTAACCTCCAAGTACCTCAGGCAACTCCCAAAGTTGCACGATGGGTAGAAATCTGTACTGGGGGAGGGAGCTACCTCCCAGGGAGGTCTCTATGCAGATGAACTGGCCGACAGGGAGCCCCGAGGGACTCGAGGTGCCTTGGAGGGCTCCGTGTGTCACTGGGCCCTGCTGGCTCTCCTTCCCAGCAAGACAGGGCACAGTCTCCCAGGCTGCATTCGGCCCCTTGGGGAGGGGCTCCAAATTCTCTTCCTAGTCCCAGTTTTCAAAATACCATGCTTACAAATGAAACACAAGCCACACTGAGTCTTCTGGACCCACACAGCCTCCCTTTGTTGTTTCTGACACCTCAGCCTTTTCGTTGGTTTTGGTCTATTGGAGGACAGGTTTGTTCTTTTGTCCCTTTGTACCTGGAGGCAGCTAGGTGGCTCAGTGGATAGTGCTGGGCCTGGAGTCAGGATAGACTTGAGTTTGAATCCAGCTTCAGACACTTACTAGCTTGTGTGACCCTGGGCAAGTCACCTAACCACTGTCTGCCTCAGTTTCCCCATCTGTAAAATGGGGACAATAATAGCACCTACCTCCCAAGGGTTGTTGTAAAGCTCAAGTGAGATAATATTTGTCACGTAGTAGGTACTTCATAAATGCTTGTTTTCCCCATTCTCTTCCCCTTTGCTTGTTTAAGAGCCACTCCTCCTGGGAAGGGAGAGGGGCCTTCATCAGATGAAGCAGCTGCTTTCTCGGCAGTCTTTTGCCCTGAGGTGGTAGGTTAGCCTTGGCATTAGGACCTGGAGTTATTTATTTGGGGGCTGTCAAGCCTGAGCCAAGCTGGGAGACTGATTTCATGGGGTATTAGAACAGGAAGAAACTTGAGTGATTTGGAGAGAGGCTCCCAACTCTGAAGGTGGAAGGGCCCATAAGGGCCATCTGGTACAGTCTCCTTGCTTTACAGAGGAAAAGGAGGCCCAGAGAGCAAGAGGCAGGGCTAGGCGCCCGGCCCTTGGGATCTCATGCGCCCAAGCTCCTTACTCTATCCCCACATCAATGACTCCCCCTCCCTGCTTCTGCTGCCTCATGAGCCCGTCACCAAATCCCGCCACTTCCTCTGGTTCCACTCTTGTATTTTTTCAGCTTTAGGGCCCTAGATCTCCTGTGTGGTTCCGCTATGTGAGTGGCTGTCAGGCACTAGGAAAAGAGCAGTTCAGGTTCTCGTTGAGCTCCTCTGAGGGGGTGGGGGCACGGGAAGAACACAGGCTCTAGAGGCAGGAAACCTGGCTTCCCATCCCTCTTCTTGACCTCTCCTGGCCTCAGTTTCCTCATCTCTAAAATGGACTAGACAGCCCCTGAGGTCCTTTCCAACTTTGTATCTATGATTCTGTGAATCCCGCTAGGCATTGGGAGCTATCAAGAAGGCAAGGCCACCACCCTTTTCTCAAAAGGGCCTAAAGGCCAGGGGGGAGGGGGAGATGCCAAGCCCTGTCAGAGTGGGGGGGGGGAGGAGTGAGGGAAAACCTGGTGAGGCTGGGAGGAGGGGGAGCAGCACGTGAGCTAGACTGTAAAGGGAAGGTAGGAAGGAGCTGAGGAAGGGCCATCAGTTGGAACGAAGGCCCCAAGGAATGTGGCATGGGCCGGGAGGAGGCTGGCTTTACTAGAATAGAAACTGCCTGTGGAGGACGGGTGAGAGATAAGGTTGGGTCCATGTAGGGTGGGGCCGTATCAGGCAAGGCAGACTGAGGACTTGGGAATAGGTGCCCACCAAAAGGAATATAAGCCAGTGGAGGGTTTCTGAAAGCAGAGGCTGCCATGATGAAAGTGGTTTGGAAGGAAGGTTCATCCGGAAGAAGGGACTGGAGGTGGGATGGTTCCGAGTGGGATGAGCTAGGCTGGGACCTTACTGAACTCATGGTACCCTGGACTAACTCAGGCCAGCATGGACCATGCAAGAGACAAGATTTCATAACTTCCAGGCTAAGGGGGACAGATCAAAGTTGACTTGCCAGCTTAGTGCCTGGGAAAATGGGGGTCCACTGAGCAGGAGCTAGGGCCAGAAAGGGGGGAGTCAGTGGATGTCAATGGATTCATTTGGGGCAAGTTGAGTTTGAGATGCTGGGGAAGCATCCAGGTTGCAGAGATGCTGCCCAGAGCATTGGAGGTGAGGGCTGGGGCTTAGGGAGAGATCAGACCGTCAATAAACATGTATTAAGTACATACTATGTGTGCTTAATATAGAAAGAGGCAAAGACAGTCCCTGCCCTCTAAGAGCTCACAGTTGGGTGGGGAAGATGGCCAGCTGCCATGCACAGGATAAATAGGAGACAAGGCCCTGAGGTCAGATTTTAGTTGGGACTTAAAGGAAGCCAGGGAGGTCAGTGGTTGGATGGAGGAGGGAAGAAGGTAGTTCAAAGAATAGCAGCCCGTGGCTCTGTGAGTTGGGAGTTAAAGAGAGGAGAGGAGAGAGGGTGGCCTAGCAGATAGTGCAGTAGACTTGGGAGTCAAGGCAGCCTTTATTGGGATCTCATCTCCAATTGAAGGAACCTGGACAAGTCACTTAACTTCTCTGGGCCTTAGGGGGCTGGACTGGATACCTCTAAGAGCTGCTAGCCCACGAGGCAGCTCCTGGCACAGCGGACAGAGGACTTCAGCTGGAGTACGGAAATGTGTTGTTCAGCTGTGTCCAACTCTTTGTGATCCCACGTGGGGTTTCCTTGGCAAAGACACTGGAGTAGTTTGCCATTTCCTTCTCCAGCTGTTTTACAGAAGAGGAAATTGAGGCAAACAAGATTAAGTGATTTGCCCAGAGTCACTCAGCTAGAAAGTATATGAGGTCAGATTTAAACTCAGGAAGGTGAGTCTCTGGACTCCAGGCCCTGTGCTCTATCCACCTAGCTGCCCTAGGAGGAAGAAAAACCTGAGTTCAAATCCAGCCTCAGAAACTTATGAGCTGTGTAAGCCTGTGCAAGTCACTTCACCTCTATCTGCCTCAGTTTCCTCTACTATAGAACAGGGATTAATTAATAATAACAGGGTTGTTGTGAGAATCAAATGAGATATTTGTAAAGGGCTCAGTGCTTAATAAATGCTTCTTCCCTCCCTTCCTTCCATACACATTTCTCAAGCTGCCCTTTAGTGACTCATTTTCTCTTTGAAGTTTGGCCTTGGTGGGGGTGTTAGGGATGGGGAAGAGTAAAGCAGAGGGGATGGACAAACACCCTGATTCAGGAGAGCTCTGGTTTTTGACTGTGAGTCAGGAGACCTGGCTTAAAATCCTAGCTCTGCCATTAAGTACGTGTGTGACCTTGGGCCAGTCCCTTCTCTCTGCAGGGATGGCTTTTTCAACACCCCCCCCCCCCATATACTCATTGCCCATAGTCCCCAGAGGAGCCAGGCTAGAGGGGATCACTCAGCCTAAGGAGCAGTCATCTAGAGGAAAGCGAACAGCCACCTGCTGTGTGCCTGGCTAAAAGCATGGTGCTTTTTTGAGGGGAATCTCTGGGGGAGTTTTAAGGCCAATCTGAATGAGGCATGAGCAGGTAGAGCCCTCAGCAGCAGCTTGGGGAGGGTTTAGGCAAACTTGGTCCCTGCCCAACTCTGCCCCTGCTTTTGCCTCTCCTTGGCCAGCCTTGCCAAGAGCGGACCAATGTGGTGAGGCATTCCCAGCTCTTCCACATGGCCGTCTTCCTTGACCTTCCTTCTGCTGTTCAAGACTTTTCAAATAACCATTTCTGGAGTTTTAATGGGTCTTAATGGGTGGATTCTGGAGAAAAACCCGAGTGGAGAAATCTGCTGGTCTTCCCCATCCCTGGGCAGCTTGTGATGGTGAGGGAGTATTCATAAGGACATTCTCTATGCATAAGCCCTGGGGGGGGGGGTGCTGGGAAGAGATGTTGTATTATAGCCTGTTGAAGTAGGAAAACTGTAGGATCTGAAGTCTGGGCTTCAAATTCTGTTCTGCTGCTTACTAGTTTTGTGACCTTGGATAAGTCACTTATCTCTTTGGGTCTCATCTAGGATCCCTTCCAGTTCTAGAGCTAAGCATGATAAATTCCCTTGAGTCCTGGCACTTCTAAACTTAACCAGCTGGTAAAGGGAGAGAAGGAGAGCCCTAGGCTGTAGGACCAGACACTTGAGGTCCCCCTGGGGGGGGGGAGGTGGGACTCTGGGAGTTTGAAGCTCAACACTAGGAGTGAAGCCAGAATAGCCAAAGCAGACATCCTGGGGCCCTGACAAACAGGCAGGCATGAAGGGAGGGTTTCCTTGAGTTTGGTTTGGCCTAGGGAGCTTGGCGCCTTCCTGCAGGGCCCACCCACTGTGCTCATCTCTGTTCAATGTGCCAGATTTAGAAAACCACAAAGGAAGTGAACACACAAAAGGGAGAACCCTGTGGGATGGAAGACTCAAGCCGGCAACAGGAGGCCATCCAGAGAGAAGGCCACAGGAGGGCCTTCCCTCTGTTGGTTCCAGAGGCCCATGCAGCTTCACTACCACAGAATTGCCCTGTCTCATGGGGCCTGCATCACTTCTGTGCCCTTTTATGGACAGAGGAGCTAGTCCTCCCAAGAGTGAGGTGAAAGGAGGGATCACCTTGGGCCAGGGGGATTTGAGAAGGACCCACAGGGCCACAGATGGAGAGCAGGGCTTTTTAACCTTGCTTGTCACCTGGACCCTCTTGGGCAGCCTGGCCAGGGAGCCAATAGACCCCTGCTCACAATCAGGTTGGGAAATGCATAAAAAACAATAGGAAGAATTACTAAGAAAACCAAGTCTACTGAAGTAGTTATTGCAAATATTAAAAACACAAGTTTACAGGCCCCAGGTTATAATAAAGCCCCAGATCTAAAGGAATCCTATAGTGTATTTAAGAGTTACAGGTGTGAAGTACACAAAAAAACCCAAACAAACCCAAAACCAATTGGACACAAGAAAATTGAGCCCATGGTAAGTAAGAGCATGTACGAGGCGCCTGTAGGAAATGAATGGCAGAAGAACTGAAAAATTGTTGATGCCTTCTAGACCAAAATTAATTTCAGTGTAAGTGGTCGTTAGCAAATTAAGTGGGTCATGTTCCTGGTCAATGTTAATTTTTTAATAAATCTGCCCCTGTGGTCCAATGGGTCCCTAATCTTATTACTATGTAAGTTCCCTCCAATGACGCACCCAAGCCTGCTGCTCGTCCTGAGTGACTCTCAGCCGTGGCTTTCCATAAATGTGCCTGGGGGTGGGCAGTGGGGCACCCAGTGGAGGCGGGAGGAAGGGGCCATTCTGTGGCCAGGATAGCAGTGGCTGCCCCCCCCCCCAATGGCTACCGTGGGCTACCCATCCTTTAGCCCTTGCTCTCATTACCTGACCTCTTTGGGTTTGTTCCAGATTGAGCTGATTCTGTGCTCACAGTAGTACTGCATTATGGCCCCATTGGTCGTTGGATGGGGATCTCATACAGCTCATTTAATGTTTAAAGACAGCTTATGCCCTGCTGCCTTCTCTGCCTCAATCGCTGCAGACGGTAAAAAAAAAAAAAGAGAGAGAGAGAGAGAAAGAGAACCTCCCTGTCACCCCAAATACTGATGTTTCTATGAAGACTCCTTCCTGTAGCGAAGGCCTAGCTCAGGTCCCACCTTTTCTGGAAAGCCTGATGTGCTCTCAGCACCCCCCTCCCAACTGTTAGTGATCAGCCTCTCCTCCCAGGCCTTTGTGCATATGTTATCTCCCCCTCCCCTCCAGAATAACAATACTAAAAGCTCACATTTATATGGTGCCTGAAGGATTAGAAAGTTCTAGAGATACCCTCACAAGAACCCTGACAGGGAGGTGCTATGCTACTATCATCCCCATTTCTGAGGCCTCAGGGTTGAGACATTACGGGTTACACAGCTAGCTAAGTAACTGAGGAAAGGTCTGAACTGCTGTCTCCCTGATTCTAGGCCAAGCACCCTATCTAGCTGGCCAGTCATCTAACTAGATCTAGAATGGAAGCTCCCCAAGGGCAGGGACTGCTTCACTTTCGTTGTTGGCTCCCCAGCACCTGGTACAATGCTTCATCAATTCCCATGCAGGTCCCAACTGGAATCTGAGGTTTGGGAAGGAGAAAGGTAGGGTCCATGCAGCTCAAAGCACACGGGCTGCCCCTGGAAGCAGTGCGTGGCCCAGGGCTAGCCTTATGGGCTGACTGGTGTCCTTGGCCTCTCTGCTGTCTCAGGGCTGGGAGACGACGAGCTCCGCTGCCTCCTCAGAGAGCTAGACGAAGTGATCGAAGACTTTGATAACGGCAGCAGCTGTCAGTATGAGGAACATCTGGAGGAGCTCAAGCAGAAGAATGGCCTTGGCGTCTATGACAGTGGGATCGATGAAGCCGAGAGTAAGTCCTGGACCTTTCTGGTTTCCATAGCCTGGCCCGACCCCTGCTACAAAGCATATAGGGTACCACTGGGGCTATGCTCTTCAATGTAGCTCAAAGGCACTCCTGACTCAGCACCTACCCCCTGGAAGGGGCATCCCACCTGTGACAGGGATGGTGCTGCTTTGGGACCCACCCATTCCTCCCTGTCCCCAGCCTTCCAGTAGTAGGCCCATGCTTCACTGAGAAGGGTCACCAATTGACCAGACTCTCCCTGCAGGTACCAGCCCATCTCCAGGGAGCAGCTTAAACACCAGTGAGGAAAACATTCACATGCCAGCAACTTCTTCCATTCCCAAAGGTAAGAATCACAGAGTAGATGCTCATTGTCAGAGGTGGGAAAGTGACAGATAGAGGATAGTAGGGGTGGGGAGAGTGTGTGTAAGGTAATCGGTTTAGGAGGAAAGTAGGACAGTGGGCTCTGAGAGATTGGTTGCAGCCCAGAGCAGGGGCCTGGGAGACCCTGAAGTCCAGCTCCCAAAGCTGGGGGCCTCAGGAGGGGGCTGTCAGCCAAGCAGCAAAGCTGATTGTTTCTTCACTTCAGGTACTAAGTGCAGACGTGGTGGGTACCCCTCACGGGAGGCCCCCTGGAACTCCAGGGGTCTAGCTACTCCCTGAAGCAAAGAGAGGCAGGAAGGGCTTGGGCCCTGACTAGGCACTAAGGGACTCCTGGGTGTTGGGGATGGCTCCGACCTGGTAGACGTTGAGGGTGTGAGAAGCAGAGCTCCCTTTGGAGAAAGGCCTTGGGTCTGAGGGTTCTTGGGGGCATTTCTGATCATCAAGACAAGTCCTGAGACACCTTGTCTCCTACAAGTTATAGCCCTAAGGCAGAAATCTCCAAGACCACATCCTTTTAGATGTTTTTTTGGAGCTCTTTAGCCTAAATCATGGCCTGGGAGCCAATGCTCAGTCTGCTTGTTCTCATTTGGGCAGCTAAGCTTGGAGACACAAAAGACCTGGAGGATTACATTGCTGACCTCGACAAAGAGCTGGAGGGTAAGTCCATTCGCCAACGTTCTCCTTGCAATTTGAGAAAAAACGCCAGCTTGAACATGGGATGGCTCAGCCCTTGGTTGATTTGCCAGTGACTTGGAAAGACGATTTGGGTGTAAATGCAGAGTCCTGAACCAAATTCATTTCAATCTAACAGCCTTCTGTCCACATCTCTCCACTCACACCACAACCCCCTCTCACTTGGCCCTGGACCATTGGCACAACTTCCTTCCTACATCCAGCCTCTCCCTGCTCTAATCCATCTTCTATATAGCCACCAAAGGAATTTCCCTAAAGTGCAGGTCTAACCATGTCACTCTGTTCAGGAAGCTCAGAGGCAAAGCAGGATAAAGGCCTGAGGCCTGTGGCCAAGAGGTTAGAGCCCAAAGAAGAACCCTACCTCTCAGCCCCCTTCTGAGGACAGACCATGAAGGCCCAAGGGCCTAGCGGCTACAGCTGGAGGTTTCCTATGTGGTGTACCTCATGTTGGGTCTTGGGCCTTCCCAATTCTCTCTTGCAGCCGATCCCCCATTCAGCTGGAGGAAAAGGGCTAGCAGCCTGTGGTCAGGGCCTTTCCTACTCTTAAATAAAAGTTGGTTCTGAAACTACACATTCCTTAAGGACCATTCCTCTGGTGGGGGGGTGGTGTGCAACCCAGACACTCAGCACCTTGGGGGGTCCTGGTTCAGGCCTTTTCCCACCTCACAAACACCAACCTTCCAGGGACGAGTAAGGACAATCTCCAGTCCATGAGTTTTCTTGAAGGGTTTCCTTGCCTTTGCATTCAGCAGAAGGCTCCCCTGTGCCGTCCCACCAAAGATGACTTGGGTTTCTGACTCAGCTGACTCAGGATTCCAGAGGTTGAACCCACTCTCTCATTTTCCTCCTTCAGAAATGTGAGGCGCAGCCCTTGGTCGCCCAGTAGAGGGCCTCAGGATGGATTGCTGTAGATGTGCCTGCCTGCATACACCCCACATATTTGCTTTCTTCATGGCCTTCCTCAGAAGGCTAGAGGGCAGAACCTCAGGGCCAGAGCAAGGGGCTTTTCCAGGGAATGGCTGAGGCCACTGACTGGGAACCGCCAATGGAATCATCCCCAGCACCCGCCGCCCAGTGATGTTATCCAGGAGTGCTGCTCTACCAAGCGCTGTATCCTTTTATCTAATCGTGTTGAGGCCATGTCTGTGCAGCTGGAGCCAATCTGGCTGGTCTGGATGAGAGAGTGCCCTCTTGCCAAGAGACTGAGTGACCCTGACCACATTTTCCATGTGTTGCTCCCTTTTTTTTTTTTTGGTGGGAGGAGGAGGACACGGGAGTCTGGATCCGCGATTTCATCCGTGCTTGTGACTCCCAAATCTAGAATTCCCTCCGATGATGCAGACCCGCAATTCACTGCCTCTTCAAAGTCTTTGAGAGTTGCCTGGGGCACCGAAAGGTTGTGCCTTGTCCAGAGTCCCACAGTTAATATGCGCCAGAGGCAGGATTTGGAGCTGGGTCCTCCCTGCCCCCCACCCCCCCACAGCACACCATTAGCTTCCACCAGGCCAATAACTGACCCCATCGCCTTCCCAGTCACACACGAAGCGATGTTTGGCTGTTAGAACTGCTCTGAGCATTTGAATGCTAACTTGCTTGCTGCCAGAAGAGCGAATATTTGCTGCTAGCTTTGCAGAAATACTTAGCAAGCGAGAATCTCCCAACTGTGAGCCCAGACTGTTTTGTCTTATTATCTCAGTTCTGAAAAGGTCTACGAGTCCCTCAACATGGGTCTTCCTTCCTTCCAGTAGGACTTAGTAGCTGGGCTTCCGGAGCTGCCATGGCTAGAAAGTTCCTTCCCCCTGTAGCTGAGAGTCTGAGAGTTCTGAGAGTCTCCTGACCTTAGCCATGCTGGCCTCTTGACAGTAAGCATCCAGAAAACCCAGGGATGGAACCTGGGTTTGAAGGTTGCTAGAACTTTCCAGAGCCCTCAAGAACCCAGGAGCAGCACCCTGACAAAACCAGGCAACCAAGAAGGACTTTGTAAAATAAGGTGCTCCTAGGCCTCACTGCAGCTTAGAAAGCAAGGCCTTTCCAGGCATTGTTATCTCTCTGGGTCGCAGCCTGTCTAGAAATTGGGTCAAGTGAACTTAAGAAGCCCTCCCTATCCCCACCCCCACTTTTTTCTTCCTTGCCCATGGCCTAAGACTGACTGATGGGAGAGCAGTGAAGGACTTGTGCTGGCAACTCTGACCTATGGGAAGAAGGGGAGGTGGGGGAGGCGGGGGAGGCAGATGCCTGCCTCCCTCCCGGGAGATAGATCACAGCCATGGATACCATCGACAGACGGCCCATTCTGATGGCAGGTAACAGCTTCTGCCCTGTACACAGATAAGCCACAGTGAGCCTGAATGATCTGTACATGGATAAATGGGAGTAGAAGCACTGTCCCCGAGCCGAGAGCTGGTGGTTAACAGCCCTTTCCTAAAATCAGCCTTACACATGCTTCTGCTGCTTATCCATCTATGACCCTCTGGCACTGGTGTAAATATTGTGTAATAGTGGTGAATGTTGTCTACAAGTTATCATGCCAATATATGGACTAAAAATGAAATGAAATAAATGTGTTCATGAACAATGAGCCCTCATACCTTCGCTTCGCAACCCCTCTGCCCAAGAAACCTTGGGGCGCTAGTCCAGAACTTCAGTGGCCAGTCCCTGCAAAGACCCACTTCCCCACGTGCAGCTTCTCACCCTCCTCCTACTGCCAGCCCGGAGTAAAGAGCGCATCCAGAATTCAGCTCCTTAGGACATGCAGTGCTCCCCCCACATGCCGTACTGATACCCCATCTCTCCAAGTCTGACTGTTTGAGGCCAAGGCCACAGAGGCAATTGCTTATTTTCATAAATCAGTGCCACTGCCCCACCCCACCCCCATCCCCAGAAGAGGCATTTCCCTGGAGAGAGCTTCTTCCAAACTCCACCAGTTGTCCTCAGCCTCAGCCCCAGCCCCAAGCTCAGGATGAGAGGAAGGAGCCAGTGTTTGACTAGAGGTCGGGGCCTGAGGTCCTAAGCGAACCTCTACCGTTAATTGGCCGTGTCACTTTCCTTAGGACACTGCTGTCCACTTGGGGCCCAGCTGTCTCTCACTGGTCTCCCTCCCTGTGGTTAAGAAGCCAGAGCAGCTTCCTGTAGGTCATTTCTTTTCTGGAGAGAGCAGCTCATGTTCCACTGTGCTCCACCTCCCTCTCTGCTCCCCCCAGGCACCAATCATGGCCCACTAGCTGTTGTAGGACCACAGGTTCCTACTCACTAGGCCTAAATCTTTTCCAGCATCACCTTGACCCTCCACTCCCCAGGCCTGGCCCAAACAGGCTGGACGTGGCCCTCCATGGTGGCCTCAGGCTTGCTGCTCCCAGGCAGGCAGACCCATCTTGCCTTCAGCACCCGCCCTGGTGACATGGTGGGTTTGGACTCTTTTCTGCCTCAGATCTAGGAAGGCTCCTGGGGGTCCTCCAGCCAATCCCCTTCCCTTTGCTGATATGCAGTTACCGGAGCTTGGAGTAAGTCAGGGCCTTGCCCAAGGTCAGCCAGCTAGGGGCCCAGGTCCAGCACCCCTTCCTCCCTCCCAGGCTGCCCCATGTTTATGTGACACTCAGAGCAGAAGGCTCCCCACCCCAGTGTTTTGTTTTCCTTGGTTCAAAGGCCCAGTGGTTGGTGACTTTTTTTTTAATCCCTTAGAAGTAGATTATGGGCCCTTTAAAAAAATACTGATTTTAAATATGTCCCTAACTCTAGGTAATCAGCACTGTTCTATTTCTCCCCCAGCATTCCCCATTCCTTTTCTATTAAGGATGGTGTGATGAAAGTCAGTCCGTCAATAAACATGTACTAAGCACCTCCTATGTGCCAGGCACTGTGCTAAGCCTCAGGATACAAAGAATGGCAAGACAGTCTCTGCCCTCGAGGAGTTTACAGTTACGGGAGGAGACAATGCCCAAACAACTGTGTGCCAACATGCCATTCTTTGTAATGGGAGAGAATCAGAAGTGGGGAAAGGAAGTGAGTCACCCGCCGCCAGCTTTAGCTTTGAAGCTCCCCAGGGCCCTCGGTGCTTTCCCTGACTCTCCAAAGCAGCAATTCACAACCTCTCCCTCTAGTGCAGAAAATGGGAGGCGAGGCCCTCGGAGCTTGCTGAGAAGCCTCTGGATGTAGGGTGAGCGCTCCCCAACAATCTCCCTCAGCTTCTCAGAACCTTCCTACATTGGCATCCTCTCCCACATCTGAGGGGAGAAAGGTCATCTCTTTCTTGCCAAGGCAAACTTCTTATGCTCTCTGCCTTCATTCCATTCCACCTAACTGCAGACTCTATGACAAAAGGGCGTGGACCCCTGGTCCAACCCCGACCGAATCGGGAGTCCCCTGAACGACATTCCTGTCAAGTAACCATTCAGCCCTTGCAGCTCCCCAGCTGGGCCCCTCCCAGCCATCATTCCCAGTTCTGCCCTCAGAGCCAAGGAGAACACTTACCAATCCCTCTTCCTTGACCTTTTCATCATTCATATAAATATCATCCTTGAAATCCCCTCGCCTCTCTCTGTCTGCCTCTGCCTGTCTATCTCTCCCTGTCCATCTCTTCTGGTCCGTCGCTTCCTGTCCGTCCATCTCTCCGTGTTCCCACTGCCCCCAGCCTTCCTTTCTCCAGACTAAACATCTCCCAGGTCCTCCAGCAGATCCTCATGTGCTTTGATCACTGGCCTGCCAATGATTCTTCACCTCCTTGGCCCCTCTCCACTTTCTCAGGCTCCTTCCCACATTATGGCCCCAGAATTAAACCCAGCCAAGTCACCAAAGCCCTCAGTGCAGCTGCCATAGCAGGGTCCACCAATCCCTGCCGTGTCATGCCACAGACTGCAGATGGTACTTCCATCATCCAACCTATGGGCATCCCCCTTGGGACAGGGCCCTGGTAGATGACCAGTTGTAAAACTAGCCTGTGAACCAGCAGATGAAAACTGCTCTCCCCCTCCACTGGTTTCACTCAATATTATGGAAGCCATCCTGAGTTTTGGCCACCCAAATCAGACTAGAATCACCTCAGTTGGAATTTTCCCTGTCTCTAAATGTAGATTGATTTCCTTCCCCCCGCCCCCAGCCTCTTTGGCCTGAAGAGGATCTGACCCACCATTAATGAAGTGAAGTGACTGCCCACGGTCACATAGCCAGTGCAGCAGCAGACAGGAGGGCTTCCTGTCCTGGGCCTTGTCTCTTTTCCCTCTATACTATCTTGCTTGGTGATTTCATCGGTTCCTAAGAATTCAGCCATCATCCTGGCCAGTTCTAATCTAGCCCTCATCCTACTACCAGGCCTGTAGATCTATAGATTCAGCCCTGATCTCTCTCCTAGCTTCCAGTCTTGCATCTCCAGCTGCCTAATGGACATCATCTTGTACTGGATGTCCCAATGACATTTTCAACTAAACATCCCAAACAGGACTCATTATTTCCCTTGCTTCTTGTTAGCCTTCTCATTACTGTCAAGGATACTGCCATCCTTGCAGGTACCAGGGTCCTAACTGCCATGTAGTCTGCAACTCTTCACTCTCCGTATCTGATCTGCCACCAAGGTCTGGGTCTGTTGACTCTACCTTCCTATCATCTCTCATCTACATTCCCTTCTCTCCCCTGACATTGGCACTGCCCTGGTACAGGCCCTGTCACTTCATGCCCTGAGCTGTAGCCACTGCCTGCTGGAAGGTTTGCTTGCCGCAAGTCTGCCCCAATCTAGTCCATCCTCTATTAAGCTGTGGAACTGAACTTCCTAAAGCTTGGGTCTGACCATGTCTCTGTCTCTCCCTGTCTCTCTGATACACACACACACACACACACACACTCCATATGATAAACTCTAGCTGCTCCCTATCAGCTCCAGGAGCAAATACAAAATGCTCTGTTTGGCATTCCAAGCCCTTCATGCCCTGCCCCCTCCTTCCTTCAGGGTCTTCTTACACTTTACTTCCCAACACTCTGTCTTTGACCCAGTGACTTGGGCCTCCTGGCTGTTCTCACACAAGACAACCCATCTGCCATCTCTGAATCTTCAATGGCTGTCCCCCATACCCAGGGTGCTCTTCCTCCCTGTCGCTGCCTCCTGGCTTCCTTTGAATCTCAGCTAAAGTTCCACCTTCTGCCAGAAGCATCTCCAGGTCCCCCTTAGTACTGCTACCTTCACCTGAGATGATCTCCAATTTGTTCCATCTGTAGTGTGCTCATACACAATTGTGTGTCGTTTCCCTCTTTAGATTGTAAGCTTCTTAAGGGCTGAGACTGCTTTTGCCTCTTTTTGGATCCCCAATGCTTAGCATAGTGCCTGGCACATAGTAGGAGCTTAATAAATGTTCGTTGACTTGACTTGGCTTGTCCTATCACTCCTCAGTGGCTCCCTATTGCTTACCAAGAAAAGTTCAAACTGGCATCTGCCATTTTGGGCTACGCGACCTTTCTAGTCTTATCTCATGCCCCCTCACTACCCAGTATGCGCTTCAGCCAACATGGATTCTTTCAAACACACCCTATTTTCTCTCTGTGCCTTTTTTCACACTGTGCCTAATACTTCCCTCCCATGTTTTGCCTGTTGAAATCTTTCCTGATTCCCCATATTGGCACCAACCCTCTCCCTCATTCTTCTCCCAAGACTTAGCTTTTCCACCTCACTAAAGCCCTTTGTGGAGGGGTTCCTGGGCACTATCACCAGACCTCTCTTGACCTCTCCAATCAGCCGCCAGGGAGCTCTGCTAACTTAAGCCCCAGCCTTACCACAGCCTTGTCGACTTCTTGAAAACTACACCCGATCCTTGGATGAAGTGTTAGACCCTTCCAGGTAGCTCTTCCTGGCTGCCTAGTTTCCCAAGGGGTTGTCCAGGCTGCCCAGCCATGGCTAAACTGATGGTATGACAGGCACAGAACTGAATGTCACTGTCTTAGCCACCAGGCTCAATCCCTCATAAAGCAGAATGAGGATCTTGGGACTTTGTTGTGATAGTAATGGTTGACATCTCTAGAACACCAGCTCTCCATGTGCTCATTTAAGCCTCACAACAATCCCATGGCAGGGGCATAGGGGGAGGTATCATGTATAATATCCCCATTTTATGGACAAGGAAACTGAGTCCCAGAGAGGAGAAGTCACTTGCCCATGGCCATTGAGCTGCTAAAGATCCAAGGCAGGGTTTGAACTCAGGCAGGGATCTCTGGAATCATCTAGAACTTTTTCCAGTCACTGCACCTCTTTGTCAAAGCTCCTGGCCCTTAGCCCACTGTACAGAGAAGGACAACACAGGATACACCTCCTCCTTGAGGTGTGGGCATTTGCTTCTTGATAAGGCCCAGCTGCCAAGTAGACCCTTAAAGAATGATCAGGACCATGGCATCCAATGTGGCATTGGAGGAACTGCTCAAGACCGGTGGCCCCTGGTCTGCTCCACTTGGGGCCTGTAATGGGAACTTCTTTTGTGAACTGGGTGTTTCACAGGGGGAGGGAGGAAAAGCTTCCGAGGCTCTCATGGCTGGGAGTCACAGAGGAAGGTCTCCAGTGTGTGTGTAGGGAGGCCTATGAGAGAACGTGAATGGACAAGAATG